TACTGACAAGTTTTCTTCTCTGAAAAAGAAATCGACATTTAAATGGTTTACTTAACCATTCGAGGGACATATGTGCCGCTGTTTGGGCGAGCTATCATAATATTAGGGTATCGTTCACCACTGATAACTGGGAAAGTAGACGCAAACATGCTCATTTTTTTACTGTTTAGTAACAAGTTGAAAGAAACCAATTAAACTTTTTTGAAATTGACTGAAACATATATAAATTTGGATGGCCGATTGAGTCACTGAAATTGTTGATTGAGCCGTGAGTCTTAGTTCATGGACAGCCGCTCGGTGATGTTGGCGATTCTTTGCTATAACCTTAGTAAGTAGACCATGGTAAAGTTTAATTTTTTTCCAAATTTCTTACTTTAGAAAATCTGTACTTAAAAAATTACGTGTTTTAACCTCACATTTACGCTTCTATATTACGTGGCTCCTTGTGTTATACATTTATCCCTGTAATTATACTTGTGCATATCTCTCGAGATTGCAAGTGAAGTCAAACAATTTCTGTTTTCAAATAGTTTTTCAACCGACGGTGTGAAACACATCGAGACATGTTTGAGAACTTGAAAGGTTGATGATCTTTCCAAACCGCTTTCTCGAAAAACTCTAAAAGGCAGCTTAGAATTCAAAACCAAAAAATATATCAATGAAAAACTCATGCAATCTGTCATCATCGATTAATTCTTGGTATGATATTTTGCTGTTGGCGGTGTTTCCCATTTTGACTGACCGTTGTTGATTCATTTGTTATTTATGCTTCTCGTTTGTCTACGTAAACTCATAGAGCGCATTGCCAAGGCTAAGCTCTGTTTGCTGGGAATAGGTTATGAAAATGAGAGCAGGGTTTTGCTTTATTTTTGCCTCAATCGTGACCGTTTATTTGTTAACAACTCAACTGAATCATATTACGTAGAATCGTGATTTATTTCCAGCAAAGGTGAGGGCAAGCCCGCCCCGTGAACCTGACGGTACCCTACAAAAATGAAATACCTAAGGAGGTAAGAAGGCGGGAAAAACGTTTTAGAACTTACAGTTGAGAAACCTAGCCTGCAAGGATTTAACTACTCATAACTAAGAGTCCCATATGAAAACTGACCCTAGCTTGTAAAATATTAACTGACGTAGCTAACTGCTTAAACACATTTATTTCCTATGAGATTAAACTTTCTTATTTTTTCTTCTAGAAACCAAAGTGTGGACTAGATCTGGAAAATTGCCAGTCATTCCTCCAGTTCTTAAGGTAATCAACCAGTAAACGCAGACATTATGTTGTGTTCTTAGGCAAGACACTTAACTCTCTCAGTGCCTCTCTTCACCTATGAGCATAAATGGGCACTGGTAAGTTCAATGCTGGGGGGTTAACCCTACCATGGACTGGCATTCCATCCAGGTTGGAGTAGAAATACTCCTAGTCTCTTCATGTTCCCTAAAGCGGAGTTAAGTGCTGGCCTAACAAGCCACTAAACTCCTAAACAGACTGAAAGTGCTTCTAAAGAGTTAGCCCTTCATTCTGATCAGGGACTAACGATGGAGATGTCAACTTTGAAAACTCTTTACAATAACAAGTTTACATCATCAACTCAGTTGATAAAACCAAATTATACTGTTAAGACTCCCCCCACCCACCACCGACACAGGACTAAAGTTTCTTTTAAAACTTACCTCCCAATATAACGAATTTCAGTCGAGCATTTTGTCATCTTTCTTGCATGCTTATTTTAATACATTGACTGTGCGGTTTTTCAAAAATGATCATGAAGATGATAATAGTGTTAGCCATTATCATTGTGATTGTGATGATTTTTCACCAAGCTGTGCATAGCTCGATCTGTTCTTTTCTAGAGACAAGAGTTAGCCTTAAATTAATGCATGGGTTTCCATAAAATAATTAAGACATTCTATTTTCATGTTATTCTTCAATCAATTAGAATCGAACCTATAAGGTGAGCGCTCAGCTTTTTAATGAAGAGAAGATCGTGTTTCTCTGTGCTGAGGTTGTGGCCAAGTTGCACTAAGAAACGAACAGGAGAAGCAGGAGTCAAGACGCAAGAGAATCATGAGGAAAAAGAAAAGGCATGGGAAGACATGAAAAGAGTCGTCTTGCAACCAATGATACTGTAAAACAAGGTTTCGAAATTTAATAATAACCATTAAAGATAACTGTGAGTAGATACATTGTTTATGTCTTTGTGGTAAGGGAATCAGCTTATGTATGGAACAGCCCGAAATCCAAAACAGGCCAAAAAAGGGGGAACAATGAAGAGGGCGAATCAGTTCGCGCGAAAAATTGTAAGCCGCATATAAACTTCTTCGAATTGAATGAGAAAGATGGATCAAGGGAGGTAGAGGAGCGAGTGAGAGCTTCTGAACTCTTCCCTACATACAGCGCTTCTCTGAAAGTCTATCAGGTTCAAACGCAGATTTTAGACAAGTAAGAGAAGAGTGATCTGTGTGTTTCAGTAACTTGCCCTGGTAAGTCGCAAGCGTATTCAAGACCAGGCCATAGGTCAAAAACGTCTTGAAAGATCAGTTACCACGGCGAAGTAAATTGCACACGTGCAAAAATCAAAGCCAAAGACTACTTATTGCTTTTGTCTGTGGTTTTGTTTATCTACGCTCAGCTGCCCTTTTTTTCGCTGCTCAGTAAATAAATACTTTTAGAGTTCACTCTGTTACGAGTTTCATAAGAAAAAATTAACATGTTATGGCAAAAATTTCATCTGGTTTGCGGTGTTTGGCCTTTTATAGCCAGTAATGGACGAGGGTCTCAAGCGGAGTTAACCGTAAGCTGTGAAACGGTCTAACAGTTTTTTTAACAAAATCAGGGCTGCAACAGGGACATTGTTGTCTTAAGAGGAATAAGTACAGGTCTGCTTCGTTTTGAAACAGTTTTTAAAATATTCAAACTCCAGATCAAAGTTTGGACAAGTTGAAGAACGTTCTATTATCGTCTGGTCAATGTTGAGTACCTTTATAAAGCTCTTCATTTGGATTGTTTTCATGCCTCTGACGTGAATAAATTTGTTGGTAACTGTAATTGAACAGTCTCGATTTTTTGATCCGCCTTCATTAGAGAAACGGACTCGGTGGCAGTGAATTTACTTTACAAATCCCGACTTAATATTCCTCTTTCTTGAAGGAACTGTCTCTGGCGAGTTGTTTTTTTGGCGGTGCTTCGTTGACTGAAAACTGAATTGAGAACAAATATTTCGCTCCCTTTACAACGACCCTAAATGGATAAGTAACAAGAGCGCTGCAGTAAAAACAAAACAAAACAAAACAAAACCAAAAAAGACAGGTTGATTTTGCCAGCGATGTGTACCACAAAGGCTGGCTGGACACTAAACCGATCAAAAAGTCGATGAGAACTAACGAGAAAATTAATACATTGGAAAGAGTTTGGAGAGCACAAAATCAAGTTAACGATGACCATTCCCCAGTGTGGCTAAGACCGCCAGCAAGGCACTGACGACGCAGATGGTGAGGAGGTAACCATGAAGTGTTGGTGAAAGCTTGACCATGGGCAGCTCTTGAGAGAGATTGGAATCCAGACGAGGTGTTTTTGTTCCATCGGTGCCGAGTTGATTTGATATCGTCATGTATGCCACAAATTAAAATTAATTCTGTTTCTCCGCTGATATAAAAAATATCAGCCAGAATTATATGGTGAGTGACACTGTCATATTTTGGAAAATGTTTTTTTAGCTCACGGTAAACCAAAACGTCTTACATTGAAGCAACTGTATTTTCATTACTTTTCTACTGGATGTTTTGACTGAAAAAGAAGACTTCAATTTTGTCAATTAAATGTTGCTGGTTTGAATGTTTACAAAAAACTGAAACTTTTATAATTTTTATCCAGTCGAGGTAGATACGAAACTGCCCCAATTTCACTATCATGTGCACAGTTTTATAAGCATGGCAATTGATTGCATCCATGTGAATGTGAAACAATGGGCCGTAGCAGAGAAGCAAACCAGATCATAAGCATTGTTTTATCTTTTACCTTAGGAAGACATATCAAATGCAAGTGAAATTTGCTAGTCCTCTCTGGCCCCAAGTAATGATGATTAATAATAAAATATCCGTTCAGTGCCGGTAGAATGCTGATGTGTCCATAAGTCTCCTTTGTTTCCTTTTGTTTTTAAATTCAATCAACCATCAGGTTCAAGTGTGTGGAAGCGCGGTGGCCTCATGGTTGGTGCGCTCGACTCCGGATCTAGTAGTCCGTGTTCGAGCCACGGCCGGGGACATTGTGTTGTTCTTGAGCAAAACACTATACTCTCACAGTGCCTCTCTTCGCCCAGGTGTTTAAATGGTTACCGGAAAATGTAATATTGGGGGGTAACCCTGCGATGGGCAAGCATCCCATCCTGAGGGTAGTAGAAATACTCATGCAACAGAAACCGGAATCAAGCGCCGGCCACTGGCTCGTAAACTGACTTTACCTCAGTTATCAGCTCTAACTAAGTTTGATTACGTACTTACTCAAAGATAAAACGAAGTAACATGAATTCACAGTAGGAGGACGGTGAATAAAGTTATGGATCTGCAAGTGGTCGTAATTAAAGAAAAAGGAAAGAAAAGGAAAGGAAACACGCAAACAAATATACACATACGATGAAAATATCGCAACTCTTGTGATTACCAACATGATATGCCTTCCATTTAGATGTGAAAGGTACAATGCAAGCAGGTTTGGCGGCTGTTCTCATCAACAAAATATTATTTTTGCGCGGAATTGAAGTCATTAGATTAAAAGAAAGGAAAGAAAAGGAAATATGCATAAATCCATACACACACAATACTGAAAACTTTCATAACTCTTGTTGTTACCAATATATGTCGATCCTTTTCTAAGTCAAAGGTAAATGCAAGCACTGAGATGTCGTAGTTCCCGTTAGTTTACCTTCCGTTTGTTTCTCGAAGGCTCCGGTAACTAAAGAGGCTCGTAAAGCTGTTTTGGTTTCCTACAGACTGGAAGTTACAATAATAAAAGTTCCATAATTAATTAGACTATCAGTCAGAAACAAATTGGACTTGTCAAAATTCTAGAACCTGCTTCTTTAAGCTTAAAATTTTTTATTTTAGAATATTTCTTCGGGCTTGTTAAGTTACCGGGACTTTAATGAAACAGGCCCCTACTGTTCTCGATGGACTGTCGTGGTCCTTCCCACAAATCAAAATCATTGAACAGGCTATTCGTCTGAGCCTTAATTATGGAGGAATTAACATTTTCTTAAGTACTATTCACTCTAGCGCAACTCGCTTCTTTCCTTTTGTTCCAGGTCTCCAAAATTAGAATGAATTATTTCGTGCTTACTTCGGGGGAAGGGGGTGCAGTGGGGCTGTAGCTCCCTCAAACAAAAATTTGAGGGTAGAGTACCCCAAAAAAATCAGCACCTTACGTTTGGTGTCGAAAATAACGCTAGTGCATCATCAAAATTTGCAAAATAAAAAAAATCTGGTGATGCAAAATAAAAAAAATCTGGTGATTTTTTCACATTATTTGATTCTTTTGTCAGCATGCGCTTTTTTTAACAGTTGCGGCACGTGTTCGAGAAGGGTGACTGGAGAATTAGACATGATTTAATTTTGTCTTGGGTACTCAATCGAATGCTCAACTGAAAGATTTTGGAGTGTGCCGGAGGAAATGTAAGCAAGGCACAAATCAATTACGGACACGTGCAAAATTCTAAAGATTGAAAAGAGGTTTGTCTGTAACAACGAAGAAAGCGAGGGGAATTTTGGAAAATTTTAGCAAGGGTATGTGCATGGTAGATGAAAGATAAGTGACCCATGTTTCAAAACGCTTCACTGCCTCTGGCGTGAATGGTTTATTACGCCGAGACTGTGATAAACAGTGTGATTTATAACGTTGATATTTTGATAAAGTGCGTCAGTGCCCAATTATAAACGTGCCACGGCTTTGAAACTTGTCATACCAGAAGACACGGTTCATTCAAATAACTTTCGCAGCGAAAGAAAAAGAGATTTTTGTAACACGGACTGCAATTTTTTACTGCCATCTGTCTGAGTTGGAAACCTGTTCAACAGGGCTAAAAATTGGTAACTGTGATTGCTTGGTAAGAATAAATCTCTAAGATTAAGCCTATATGATTTATCTCTGTCGAATAGTGGATTTAAATCATTCAAATGCTACGCACATACTCTTGAAGGTGTGATTGAACCTAATTTTTTAAACCAATCACAAGGTTATTACCGTATTTATCCGTGTACAAGTCAACCTGTTATGACCGGAATTTTATTTTACCAAAGACAATCTTGATATTACTTTCAATGCTCATTAATTTATTTCAAATCGAAAACTCAAAAAAATTACGCATCGCTTATTGAAGAACACAGACTATACAGGAGTTGCAAAAAGTGCCTTCAGTTACCATGAAATGAACCCAAAACAGGAGCGGATCCAAGAATTTTTGATAGGGGGGTCCAAACTTTGGTTCAGAAAGGACTGTTGGACTCTTTTGAGGCAAAGTACTTCTCCCCCACACCCCCCCTCCCACCAGTCGCGGTTGCACGTTATAATTCCTTGGCCGCTTACCTTTTATTTGGATTCATTAATTTAAAAAAATCAGCCAGTTAAAAAGTGATATACGATCCTGCGAATGTAACAATTTCAATCTCAAAGTTATTAGCGTCAGGTCTGATAGGGGGGTCCGGATCCCCCGGACCCTCCCCCTGGATCCACCACTGCAAAAGTCTCACAATAGCCAGAAAGATTTCAGGCAAAGTTTGAAGACGCACTCTAAACATTTAAACCTCCAAAGGGAAGATTTCTCATTGGGCATAGCAAGAACCTTTTAAGACAAATATTTCAGTGAAGTTCTTTAGCTGCTTTCTTCAATGAAGCATGACAGTTCATCGAATGTACCTGTTATTCGGACCACTCTATTTCTAAGACATCGGATCGGGTTGAAAGTAACGTACCTCCAAATTGACTTCACAAGTAGAATTCCGTTTCCAGTAAAGAAGAAAAAAAATAGCGGAGTTCATTTCTACGTGTAATTGAAATCTTACACGGAGGCGTTTAAAAAGGGATGATGCATGTCCTTTTTTTCTTAATACTGTTCTGGCATTCGCTCAAGCAAAATAGTGTTTTGAGAGAGAGCTATGATATCTCGTTGGTACAATGATTTGGATTTTTTCC